AGTGTGTCGCGTGTGTGTCTGTGTGTGTCCAGCGCGCGCGCATTTGTATGTGTGTGCGGTGTAACTGAGTTTTTTTTTAATAATAGATCGTCTTAGAGCTGTTTGATTCGACATCATTTCGGTGAGTAACTTGAATAATAGCAATCTATCTAATAGAATACATAACATATGATATAAAATCAGTACCTACATTATTTTAGGTAATAATATTTAACACCGATGGAGTTGTTTAAAATATTAAAACAATGATAATATAATTAATAACACTTAATCTAATCAAATTATCACGAGATCATATATATATGACATAATATGTATTATATAAATTTTAAAGAGAAAACTAATTAATATATCAGACAAAATGAATATTATAATTATTATCCGATAGTCGAATAACCGCAATAGAAATCTGAATATCGCTATAAGCATTTTTGATACTCGCATTTCGCAAAACTTGCTTGTTCAGAATAAGTATGGTGTCAAGAAGCTGAACAATGTATAATAACACAAATAGAGGCATTTTGAAACTAGTTTGTTTTTATGGGAAATTTGAAAAGTTTTATCAGTGTCTTTCAATTGTTTATTACTTATTTGATATATATAATATGATTCTTTAAACTAATTATTGTAATTATTATCCTTCGACTGAATTTTAATACAGCACTAATATGTTAACCAAAACTAATATTCTTCAATGTTTTTTTTACTTCCAAATTCCTAAATGCTTATTACACTTGAAATTCTTCGTAAGAAAAATTTTAATTTAGTAGGTATATAATAAAACAGATTATTTATATATGATATTACATAACTATTGTTTTATTTTTAATCTTTTAAAATTAGATTTAAAAATATGCAAACGCGTATTTCTAAAACGGATTTGTTCATTTTTCAATAACATTTTTTATGAAATATTTTAATATAAGTTAAAATATAGATGGCCAATATATAAAAACAAAGAAATGAGAACATTTTAAAATGTATAAGATGTATGAGGTGTGTAAAATTCTAGGCCAATAAATATTTATAAGATATAGGTAACGTAAATTATAAACAATGCGTAATCAGTTTAAAAATTTATTTTTAACCAATACGCCATTGTTTAGTAGAAATCACGACTGTGTAGATACCTATTTTATAATAATATGGTCGATGGGTTTTAATAATGTTTCAGAATTTGGAAATAAAACGCGTTAACATTAAAAAATCTTGGCTCTGATATTTTTTCTTATTAACGTCCAATAATGTAAAATACTTAAGTGGAGTAACAATATTCATTATTCATTTTCATTCTATATGATACTGTTAGTTTATTGTTAAATATACAAAAAAACAAATCTTTAAAACGATCCACATAAAATAGCCATGCAACATATAATTTATTATATCGATGATAAAATTCTTAAGTTAAAAGTGATGTAAAATATTTTTCCTTCAATAATTTCAATTAAACTAGATTTTCCTTCAATCAAAGTATATAAGTTAAACTACACAATTTGTGATAATTGATTTATATCAATTTTGCTTAAGTGCAAGCAAATTTTAATTATAGATTAAGATAAACCTAAATGATTCCATTAATTTTAACTCATTAAAAATTTGTTACTACAACGTTTCCTAAATACGAGTTAATTGACATTCACATAATAAATTTAAGAAATTTTTTGCAATAATTAAGTAATACTATTTTGGGGAGATCGGTAATTAAGTCACATTTTATTTATCAGCTTCGTATAAAATATTTGTTTACCTTTTACTATCTGAAGATTGGGCGATAAATGTTGACAGAAAAATATACGAATATATAACGTTAACCTAAGTTCTAATACATAAAAATACAATTATTTCTTTTAAACAATACAATAAAGATTAAATAAATTCAAATCTGTTTTTTCACCTTCTTCGTATTTTTAATTTCATCAAGAAATTAAAGTTAAAGCTTAAAGTTCGTTTTCTGGCTTTTAATATTTCTACGATTTTAATTCTAATATAAACTTCTAATTTATCTCTCAATAAAACATTTAAAATATTATGAATACTAAGACGTGACATATAAATATTATATTATTAATATATATGTATAATATATACTATTCTATTTGATATTGAATAATTTATTACCTTTTGAGATAACGTACATGATCGCTTCAAATAAAGTTTTATGGGCACTGCAGTATTAGATATTGTAGCAATTTCTGCATGACGTATTATATTAAATATTATTTTATTAAAATTTAAAACTTAATAGTGGCTCAATTACAATATACAATAATACAAAATTATTGAAAATAGTTTACCCAAAACTGGGTCTACCTGTTATGTAATACTGTAGTGGCCCAATATCCGGGTACTCACTATTTTAAACACACAACAATTTATACATACATCAATATATGAGCATCAACTACATAACTTATGTGATTTCGAGCAACACGTATACTTATTGTTACACAACTGTTTCATTTATTGTAATATTAAAATCTAAAAGTATAATACAAAAATTAAAATTTTAAATTGATGGAATTTAATTATTAGTTACATCAAAATAAGTAAAAAATCTTAAGAAAATCATTGTGATTAAAGAACACTCTTTGTGTAGGCTAAACGTGATATAATTATTTGAATTTTTCCAAAACGTATATTCTAACCATACACTTAATGACTGAATACTAGTATCAATAGTAATACTAATATGGTTATAACTTTTCCGACTAAAAAAAAAAAAAAAAAAAAAAAAAACAGATTTAAATTAAATATCTTCCCTATATAGACATTTGGTGTTAAAATTATATTTGGACACACTGTATTTATAATGAGAATAATGTACGTTGGTATTTAAAGCTTGATATGTCGTTAAGTATAAAAAAAAAACAAACTTCATCTCAAGGGCCACAAGCCATTTCAAGTTTAACATTAAATATCAGATGTTTATTTACGTCGTATAACTCGCACGCAGCTAAATAAAGTATATACTTGTTATTTTACACAATACGAATATAAAAACAACGTGTATTTGCGTCAGATATGACTGTACACATTGTGATAAAAATATAACAATTAACAACCCTGCAGGCTACAGTAAAAATCCAATCGTTATATTTTATGTATAGAGATAGTCCGTAATTTCTAAATATGAGTAATATACGTATACAATACATTTATATACATAATCATATATATGTAATAAGTAATAACTTTTATTTAAGTACTATTTATTTTATTCTTCGTTTTATTTATAGCTATTCATAAAAAAATAAACTCTTACCTAATATCATACTCGAAAAAAAGTGAATTTTTTTTTTATTTTTGTTTTTAAAATATTTTACAAATGGTTAGTTATAATACAGGTAATACACAATGATTTTATTAAATTATACAAAAGTTAAATATAGAAAAGTCAGACTAAAATTATGTATTCATAGTAGATGCCTATAGATTAGTACTATATTAATTCAAGTGGGAGAACATTTCCGCGGAGTAGCATTATATATTAGAAATAAGTAATTAACAGATAATCTAGAATAAATATATATTCAACTTTTTTTATTATATTCATACAATAAATGAATAAAAGACTAATTTAAAAATGTAAAATTAATGAAGTTGATACCTCTTACTCTAGCAGATAATTTTGTTGTGAAAAATAATAATTTACAGATTATGAATGTTCATTGTTTCATTATTTAAGTAAAACGAATAGTCGTCAAATAAAAAATAAAATAAAATGAAAGTACAATTTAACGGAATTTCGGTAAAATATCGTTCATAGTAAAATTTTCAACTCTACGACAATTTATAATAATAATAAATTAACTTATTTATGAAATATAAAGAATTACTATTTACTGGTATCGGGAGTATATTAAGTTTTGAAACTAGAAGATCTTTTGACAGAGTGATTTTTCAATTTTTCTCATGACTAGTCTATTTACTCGAAAATTAATTGGCCACACATAATAATATGCACTTATTTATATATACGACGTAACTGGGTCATTATCGTTAAGGTGCAATAATAATATTTTTTTAATTTATTATATGAATATCATACCGTTCCAACTTATAAATACATTTTAATTTTATAAATAATATGAAAACAAAAATGATATTAAATATTTTAACTCGTATACCTATTTATAAGTGATTTAAAAATAAATAAAAAGTAATTTTTACATGCTGTAATCTTTTTTTTACGAAGAGTTTGTCATTCGGGTGGGTGCGATTAAAACGTGTGAATCGTCGGATAGAAAAAATACGATTACTCAAAGTTTTAAATGTAAAGACACATTTTTTAAACTGACGATCAAAAATTTACATCTTTAAAACTATTATCGATTACATAAATTACAATTTTTATTCACTACTATACTAACTACATATTTTAGGAGACATAAAACTACAATAGATTAAACTTGTCTCCGCGAATAAATATTATATTAAAGTAAATTTGAAGCATTTCTAAAAAAATGTTTGCTTTATGAGTACATATCGTTATAAATGTACGAATTATTAGTTTGCTGAATAAAATATGCATACCTATATATATATTTATGTATGTACCTGTAAAATATCAAACAAATTAACATTAGTTGTTATATTTTGAAGATAAACCAATTTCTCTTACAATAATTTCGTCGAAAGAAAATGAATATAATATAGATTAGTTATCAAGTCAATAACTTACTATTAAAACCACGGTGCCACCAAGTAAAAATTACAAAATATGTTTTAAATTGAATAATTTATTTAAATTATGATTGATATTACATGCATAAATCAAATCATGTAATTATTCTATGATAAAAATGATTAGACATATTATCATAATATTATGATATTCATATTCTATGAAAATAGTCTAAATATATAAAAATAAATATATTGAAAGTGTAATTTATTTCACAACAATATTTATTTAGAACTTAATAATATTTATAAAAACATAGTCAATATAATATTAATAATTCGTCTGACACGTTTGGGTAATAATTATGTTACAGATGACGACGTCGCCCACCGTGGTCGCCGTAATGGTGGTGGCGTTAGGTTGTGCGGCGGCGTTCGAATACGGTCCAGACCTGGCAGGCCAATACTGTTCTACTCGACCTAGAGGTTGTTGCAAAGGCCGACAAGACGACTGTACTGTACCGATACTGGACACGTTGTGTTACTGCGATGACTTTTGCAACCACACTCGGTCCGAAGACTGTTGTCCCGACTTCTTGTCGTTTTGTAAACACATAGTTGTTCCCAAACCAGCGCCGACAGTAAACAAACGTGAGAAAACCTATACCAATATAATTTAACCATATTAATATGTGTAATAAAGTGAACAAAAGGTTAACAAAATATATCACCTTAAAAATATGTCATTTCACCCCAAGTTATTAAAGAAAATGTAATTTAATTACATCATAACGACATCACATAACAAGTTTTTTTTAGTTACATAGGCACATATTACACTTTTAAACACATAATGCTATACAAAAAACAGCAATTCATTATATTTTCATTTTAATATCGAATAAAGGTTCTATATAGCTATTGGTGCCAAAATTACAGATGTCACAACTATTGAAATGGGAATTACTAGAAGGCCAATTTTAGAAAATTAAAATCTAGCGGGCTAGAGCATAGAAAGCAATAAAAAGTCTTTCAAAATGTACATTTTAATTATCATTTGTTTTGCTTATAATGTTAATTTTTAACCTTAAAATTGTATTATGATGTGTAATTTTAAAATCTAGCACAAGCCAAATAAAAAGCTCACGGGCCGCCAATTACCTTTCCCTGCCATGGGATATAAAAGAATAACCCGATCAAAAATAGTAATAAATAGTCGAAAGAATGTTTTGATTTTCAATTTTGAAGATAGTTTTGAATAGTAAATACAATTTATAGTTTGTATTAAAAAAAAAATTGAAAATTCAGTGCTTTTCAAAATAATCGGAAAAAAACAAAACCAAAAAAAAAAAAAATAAAAAAAAACAGGACATTTTACACAAGTCCAATTTTTGATAAAATCGATTTTGGTTTTTTGAATGAGATAACTAAAAAATGAATAATTGTAGATACTTAAAATTTTTAATAATATTTATATAATCATCACAATTTTCTATACGTAATATAATTTTAAAATTTTTTTGACTCTTTTTGAGTTATTTAGCACATTTGTCATAATGATGAATATATTAAAAGCACCTATCGACACCTATCATATAGCAGAGTGATACCATTTTTCCATCATTTTATACCTATAATATGTTATTTATCTCAACATCTCAACATAAATTGTATCACTAACTGTAAGTTAATAAAAGGTGTGTGGTAATTACATTTTGTAATACTAATTTAGAAAACTTTACTTAACCTAATTTTATCTATAGAATGACCAAAACATAGGGATCCACATGGACGAATATGTAGTAATATGTAGTATAACCGGTGGCAAGGGAAAAAGTGATTTTAAAGAGTTATAAGTATAGGTTAGATAAATTACCTAAGGAAACTATACAGTAAGATATAATCAATAGGCTCGGGTAGGAAAGAAAGACCATGAGAACGTTTTAATTGTTCAATGTCCAATTACTGTAATGTGTGACCTACCTATTATTTAATAAAATTTATAATATTACATTTTTACGTATTATTCGTATTTGATTATAATCGTTTTTATGTATTATTGTTCGCCAATGCGAAACCTAAATTATAATAATTCACACTCGACTATAACCATATTATTGTTATTATTATTACTTATTATTGTATTGCGCGTCGACGTGTGTCGTGCAAGTTGCCGTGTACTGTGTAGTGTGTAGACTATAGATAAATACGTATTATAATATTATACTCGATTTTTCATCTCGTACACCACAACCATTGTTTCGGTATTTTTCACGTCCTATAGTGCTATATTGTCGACTTCCTCCAGCTGTTCCTCGTCCATTCATGTGCAAAATTCTGTAATAATGTGGTATAATTATTCCGCAAGGATAAAAAAAAATGCGTGTGCAAATAATATTTACCATATAGATATTATAATAATATTACTATGTTACCTGAAATTATTAAATGCTATTTCGGGATCATGTAAGGTAAAAATGTTAGCACCCCGGGTCAACGAATTCGCGGCATTCCTCTTCCAATCCTTATTTTTTTAATAATGTTAAATATTATATAATATAATATATTAGGTATATATACAATTTTATAAAAAAAAATCTCTCAAAATATTTGCTCCCCGCTTTTAGTTTGATAAAAACCAAAAACAATTTTCTGAATTTCATATAAAATTTGATAATTTACGATATTACAATTACCTATATTATTCACGATACAAATCAATTTCTTAGTAATCATTTTGATTGAAATATACTTATTCAAGCTGCCAACTGTTACTGATCAGTTACCTTATAGTATTAATAAATTTCGCTACACCATTGCAATGTACTTGGAACAATAATAATATGAATTTATGAAAATAATCTTACAGTTATTATAAACTAAAATTGAGATGATCTCACGTGCTTGAAATAATTCATGTTATTGTATTTACGTGTTTGAGGCTCACTGAAAAATGCCAAATGGTAATCTTCACTACTCAGGAAATTGTTAGACCTCCTTTTTATATAAATGTCATTTTCAATTATTATTTTTTATTTCCAACAACTAATCAACCTAACCTAACTGAACCATATATATATATATATAATTTAAATTTAATCAATTTTCCGAATTAAAAATAATTGAGTTTCGATTTAAAAACTACTAATATCTATGAAAACATAAAATGAAGGCACCTTTATTATTTATACATTCGATATGTAATAAAAGCGAATGCCAATAATTTACCATGCGAAATAAATTTAAAATGTATTTATAATTTTACTTGCTATGATATACTTTGGAATATAAATATACATATTGTATACTTGTACTATACATTATACATGTATAATTAATATACTGCAGTATTCGTATTTGTGATCGTACTTAAAATAATAACTAATACTTTAGCAACGTCCTGATAATATTTAATGTTATATTATGTAGACAAAACTATGTAATTTTAAATCATGGTATTTTCAATTAATATTAAGTATAATTGTAAAGATTTATAAGGTGAACATTGTACGTATTAATTGTATATAATAATATGGTAATAGTTTAATAAAAATAATCAAATCTATAAGGTAATAATAATTTTTTTAATGTTTGTGCAGAATGCTATTCCAATGGCCAGACATATAAGTATGGAGAAACAGTCAACCTCAATTGTAACGAATGGTTAGTAAAATCGGTCGTAATAATAATGATCAGTTAATTATGTCATAAAATTCAAATTTCACAAAATTCAAATTAATTAATTAAATCATAAAAACTATGATAGAAATAAAATTATAAATGAATTGGCAATTTAAGTTAGGTTTTTTATTGGTAGTTATTATATCTTTTGAACATTAATTACTGTAGCCGATGTCAAGAATCCAATGGCAAAATGCAGTTGATGTGCAGCTCCAACGAATGTCTTATCGACACGTACATTTTGGATACCCTTAGACACCAAGCGCATCGGTTCGGATGGTCGGCCAGCAATTATAGTGAATTTTGGGGTAGAAGATACGACGAGGGCCTGCAACTGCGGCTAGGTACACTGCATTCTAAAAAAAAGGTGTGTATCAAATTGTAATTATAAAGTTGCAACTAATTTTTTGCCCGATGTAATAACAATATTATATTATAATTAGATATATACGTTCTAAAATTCATATAACTACTTATCTTCTATACCATAATACTCTTATGATATTATGAATTTAAAGTGATTAGAATCATATGTTTAATAAGAAACTATCCATTTTTTAGAACTATGCCTCATTATCCCAATAAAATTTTATCAGTACGTGTTTTGTTAAACAATTGTTTAAGTAGATTCGGTTTATTTCTCGTATTTTAAATCGGGTAAAAAAAAAAATGAAAACTAAAAATATTTCTATTTTGTAGGAAAAAATTATATTTAACTAAAAATAGTTATACTCTTATAAGCTATTTAGCTATAGATATTTGAAGTGATTAAATCAAAGTAGAAAATTAAATTCATAATTACACTTATCTGCAGTATGGTTTAATTTTTTTTTCTTGTTATTTTATTTCACATTTACACGAATTTAAAAAATCAAGTTTTTGAAATATTGGAAAACTATAACATCCCGAGAAATCAGTCAAGATTATCGGTAGTAGTGCACTAATAAATTTTTTTATGATTATTAGAAAAAGTGGGTTAGGCTAAAACTAAAATACTATTTTATTTTTATTTTTAGATATAGCCATTCTTATATAATACTTATAACATGGTGTTGGCTTTTATAAATTTTTGTGATAATATATATGTTGAACTTTAACGTATTATTCAGATTTTGCAAATGAAACCGTTAAAAGCCGTATTCCAGCGAGGTAATTTGCGACGGTCTTACGATGCCCGTGAAGTCTGGGGCAGATACATTTCGCAGCCGATCGACCAAGGCTGGTGCGGTGCATCTTGGGCCATAAGCACTGTTCAAGTTACCACCGACCGTTTTGGAATTATGAGTAAACGCACAATCGGCGATGTATTGTCCCCACAACACCTGTTGTCGTGCAACAACCTAAATCAACAAGGATGTCAAGGCGGCCATTTGACCAGAGCGTGGAATTGGATTAGGAAGTTTGGGTGAGTTCGAACACTACGCGCAATCAAACAAGCATCCAATAGAGGATAGTTCAAAGATATCGTTTTGTCGTTAATTGTTAATACTTGTAATAAAATGAAAAACCATCAATATTTCTTATAATTCCACAATATTATTATTTTGCAAATTATTTACTAATTACCTACTGAAAACTGTATAGAAAAATATATTTTGGTTTGTTGTTATTTTTAATTTCAATTTATACATGTGTTTTTAATATTTATATTTTGTGTAATATTTTAATGTTTTACCTTAAATTTCACGTACGCAATACAATAATTAAAAACAACTATAATTTTATCAATGTAGGTTACACCGATATCACATGATTTTGAGATATACAATAAGAACAGAACTATGAATAATTTTTATTTTTCACCGATGGGGGCTTAGGTATTTCTAGAGGAATTAATTTGAATTTGCTAGTAGAAAGTAATTTAGTATGTATAATAAATATTAATTAAATTGTATTTCAATAAAACTACGATCGTAATACACTATTAATGTGTTATATATATTTCCCCAGACTGATCACAGAGGAATGTTACCCTTGGGAAGGCCAGATGTCCACGTGCGCGGTTTCAAAAAAGAAGAAAGAGTCTATGGCGCAGTGTCCGCGTCGCGTAAGATCCAATAACGACCGTCTGACCAAAACTCGACTTCACCGAGTCGGTCCTGTTTACCGGGTAGCCACAGAAGAAGGTATAATGCACGAAATTTTGACCTCAGGACCAGTGCAAGGTATGTGATTCAACGCGTGTGGCTTAAATTATTATAATTTAATAGTATGCATATACGATGTTCATAATTTATGGTAATAGTCATAATAAGTGCAGGCTGTTTTTTCAGGGGGTAGGGAAAAAATCAAATTCTATTATATTAGATACAATTAATTTTTTCAAAAAGGATAATTATATTAAAATTATAATATTGTATACTTTACAATTCACATATTAATATATTATACGCATTTAATTACACCTACTAGATCTATTAAATAATTTAAAAACTGAGGAGTAGTATTGTTCACACAGATCCTTCTCTGCTGTTGGTTTAAAACAGAAAAAAAAAAAGATCTATTAAATAATTTAAAAACTTAAACAATATTTAACCACATATCGTTTTTATTTAACGGAGCACTATTATTTAATTTTATCCTACCAATTATTACTATAAATACTACAGATTATTACTGCTATTTCCTGTACATAAAAATGACTGTAGACGCTGTATATAGTATTTTTTAAAGTTCTAATAACTTTTAGATATTTGTTTTACTCGTTTATTTAAGTTGTTTATGTTTTGTTTAAAAAAAATTATTATTATATAAGTAATAATCTGGAATAAATAAAAAAAAAAATATATAAATGAAGATAAAAATTAATTAATTAATTAATAATTTCAGTTGAATAACTGTAATTTAAATTGAAATTTAATTTATGTTGTAGAAATAACAATACATTGTATTATGACAATCAAAATATAGATACCATGTGTACTCTTTTCCAATAAAAATATTTAAGTTTTTATATCCATTCATTTAAATAAAATTTACCATGAATATTATTAAGATACTGTGGGGAAGTTGAATATTAAGTACCAAAGTACCATTACTAGACTGACTATTATACGAGTATAGTATTATCACTTATCAGCAATTAAAAGATAGCTTATAAAATTATGAACAATTTATGAAAACGTAATAGAGACAACCAAACAATTAATATAAAGGGATAATAAAATTGTATTGTATAAGGCAAGAAAATCTTAGATACATCCTTGAATATTATAATCACAATAGCAAGTTCTAAGAATTATTAGTTTATAGATTACCCTACATAATATATTATGCATACATAAATGTATTATAAGTACCAGTAATCTGTTAAATGCAAACTCTGTCAAGGTTCGAATAAGATGCATAACGGCCTGTAATTACTTGAACCTAAATACACACACGTGTGTGCGCGCTAATGACCTTCGCAATTCGAAATACGCCTATGCTATATTTTAACTTAACCGTTCTTTCTCCGAGTTATTTTTGTGTTCTTAAATTAACGCTATCTAAAAGCTGTAACTCTAGATAACGCTTATATCTTACTTGTATCGATGACCAGTCATCATTCAACATAAATTAATGAATTACACGTTCTAATTACAAACATAATCTATGCAATAAACATATTGTATTTCAATACAAAACACGGTATTATTAGTATTTTATTGTTTCTCGTAAAATTTCGATCTTACTTCATACTAGCTGGCAGCTAGATAAACAGTGTGATTTAAACGTACCAGCTTTTATGAATAAAAACGTGTATTAGCACATAATGTTTTATATTGATCGGACATTGTGAGAAAGTAAACTCAAGGCAGTCTTTGCAAATATTGTTCTGGTTTGAATAATTTGTACAGTAAAGTGAACACGTAGGTAGGTGAGACAATACAGTTCCAACTCGTGTTTGTTGCAGTGACAATACGAGTTATACAACAATAAAGTTCTTTGGCAATACGAGTTTTAAGACAATTACTGTTTGACAATAAACCCGTATTTCAATACGGTACAATGACAAATGTGTACAATGGTATCGGTAGTTTTCTAATTTAAAAATCATATTTTTATCGTATTTGCATCGACGTTCAGAATCTCACTATAACTACTACACTCGTAAATATATTAATAATTTATAATGCGAAATTAATATACCAATGGAAATTTATAACAAATTCACCCCATACTTATATACACAATTAATATTTTTTTTCCACATAATAATGTACTATGATTTATAAATATTGAAATTATTGTAAATCATGCATAAATATTATCTAAAGATTAGAAGAGTAGTATAGTGTGTAAAACATATCGAGAGCATAGGTTTATACTGTCACTTCACATATCTTATCTATTATACAAATGATTATAAATAAAAATAAACTTACACTGTATAGTGTGATAACTTTATAAATGCTTTTATCAAAATAAACACCAGTTTTAATTTCAAATAGCAATTTACTGCAACAAGATCATTCTGTATATGTTTTTGTCATTACTCACTTACTTTAAACATTCGATCACCTTGGGTTTGATTCCTATTAAGAATAATATTTGAATAGCTATGAAAATAGCATATTGATTAAAACTTGCATACTTTTTTTAGTATACGACTCACGAATTTTCGATGTCATACAAGTTCTCTAATTTTAACTCAAATTCAGGATAATCATAACGATATTTCACTCGAGCGTCATACTATTTCCTAGCTAGTTACTTATGTTGAAATCGTGCGTTATTGACCTAAATATAATTAATAAATATAACAAGCATATAAAAAAAAACTTTTTTAACCAAAATAATAATTACTTTGATAATGCGTATTTTTATATAAGAAATAGTAATTAGTAATTAATAATACTTATACAATGATATGTATATATAGTAGGTAAGTATAATGTTTTTCATTAATGTACTATATTATGATATGGAGTTAATCTTACATTGTTGACTTTATACTTTCAGCCGTCATGAAAGTGTCTAGAGACTTTTTCATGTACAAATCGGGTGTGTACAGATGTTCAAATTTGGCGTCGGGATCGAGAACAGGATACCATTCGGTGAGAATCGTTGGTTGGGGTGAAGAGTACCATAACGGTCGGATTGTCAAATATTGGGTAAGTAAGACTAACGCGACGGCCAAATCACAAATAATTAGAATAAATTAAACATTTTTTTTTTTTTTTGATATTTTTATTGAACAATTAGTTAAGTTTTTTGTAGTATAGTATAATACTATTTTAGAAAACAAAGCCTCCTCACTCTATTCGTTCAAATTATAATAATACAATTATATTTTTTATGTTCATAGATTGTATCAAACTCATGGGGAAGATGGTGGGGTGAAAATGGATATTTCCGGATACTGAAGGGTGTCGACGAATGTGAGATCGAAGATTTCGTCATCGCCGCGTGGGCAGACGTCGACGACTTCGATGTGACTGGAAATCCGCTGGGATATGACGTATTCCTGCTAAACGGTCCAAAGTCAAATTCCGTTTAATCAAATACTGCGGTTATGATATAAGTTCACGTCCGAACCAGATTGGAAAAAATATTCTACTTCACAGCATCTAAAATCATGCTGGACCACAAACATCAAAATATACCTACATATATACTTATATACCGTATATAATATACGTATGACGAACAAAAGTAGACGACAAAATAAATTTAAAAAAAAACATTTCATAAACGAACTTTGTTCGGTATTTATAATCACTACTTATATGATAATAATATATACATAATAAATATATATGTAAATATAGTATATATTTATATGTATATATAATATTACTATATTTTACAACAAGCAAAATACAGTGCACAAAATAATTTATACTTAAACTCAACTGCATTATAAATGACTGATAATTATCTCAAACACAAAGTTTCTAACTAAACAATTTTTTGTCTTACAAAAAAAAAAACACGGGAGCACCGTGGCCAATCTACCATAAAAGGACTGACTACCCGAATCCGACTTACCCATGAAGACATAGATATATATTTAGAATTTATGAAAGCATTTATTGATTGATAAAATAATTTAAAAGTTCCCACTCTTAAGCTATTGATTATAAAATCTATAATACTTCGCCAGAGAATATCATTAAATTAGATTTAACTTTATAAAATAGTACTATATATTACTATTTATCAATACATAAAATCTAAATACACAAATGTGTTATAAGAATACTAAAAACTAAAAATAAATCTAAAACTTAGATTTTATTAACTATAAACGCCACTAACTTTCTAAAAATTGACTTTGAAAAAAAGTAGATGAAGAAGTTAAGGGGAATTTGTTAAGTAGGTATTATTGGACGAATAAGAAAAATTAAGTAACTAAACCATCTAAATAATTTATTACGTGGTTAATATAATATTTTCTTTTTAATTTTAACGCCAGAACTACTAGTCCTATGATTTTAGGTCGATGATATAAATTTTCTTAGCAGGAAATTTCCCGTTAAGCACGCGTCTAAATTAAAGTTATCAGACCACAAAAGAACAAAATTAAATTAAATCTTTCAATGATAAATAATTTTAATCGACTTAAATATTTTGAATTTTGTTCATATTTTTGATGATGTTGATCTATATATTGGAAGTTTATTTTACTTCATAAAAGTTATTTATAATTAATAAAAATGTATTAGAATATTTTTAATCTGAATCATTATAAACATATTTATTTAAATATTTCATGTTGATATTAAATTAAGTTTTATTATATCTGGTAAAATTAAATATAAAAATGTCCTATGTTCTAATATTTATGTCTAAATGTATTTATATCAATACGAAATTAATTGATATAATAATTGTAAGAAAACAGATTTTTGTTTTTAAAAAGTTATAATCTGGAATGCGAATCCATAAAGGGTCAATAAAGAATAAAAGTGAGAAATATAAATATGTTATTTAATATTAATTATAATTATTAATTAAATTAAAATGTTAACATACGGTTTTTATATTTTTAATACTATGTCCTTTTTTCTAAAATTATTGGAGCATTAATTACAAGCAAAGTGTTACACCTTTACGAAGTGATCAATACATCATAAAATAGAACCATAAGGTAAGGAAAAGTTATAGTTATTTTCATATAAAAACCAACAAGGTATTTTAAGTCGTTTAGGTAAAATGAACGAGATTGTGAACTAATTTTATTTTATTCATATGAATAAAATTTTAATTTAACTTACCAAACTCTAGAAAATGTACAAAACAAAATTATATAATAAATATTCATTAACGATGAATTTAAAATCTATTCTTTAATGCTATAATGTACTATATAAATACATCTAAGAACGTTTTTCAATTATTTTTATCGAAATATTTGTACAGTTTTAAGCTATTGAATTTTAATTATTTTATACTTATGTCTTGTGTAGACATTATACATATCATAGTTATGTTAATTTATTATTAAAATAGGAAAAAAATTAAACATTGATGACTAAATTATAAAAAATAAATTTAAGTACACGATAAAGTAGTTAGTATAATAACTATAATTAACCTAGTAAAATACGTATCAATCCTATCATGTTTTCAAAATATTCATATAACATTTAAAATAAAACATAGTGTACGCACTAAGAATATTTTAATAAAATATCTATTAGGTACCAATTTAGGTATATGAGACTTAAAGTGTATCAAGTTTATGATTTTCATGAAAATAATAACAGATTTATAAGCAAAAAACTAAAAATTAATAAATCGTTAGTTCATCATACTAAATAGTAGCTAATACTAAATAAATAAACTAATTTATATAAATTAAAGCTTAATTAAAAGCTCTATCTAGTATTCAATATTTTTACACTGATTATCATAAAAAATTTCGAATTACTTACTATATTGGTATAGATTAAACTATCTATTTTAGTAATTTTTTTTTTTTTTTTGTCCATATTTCGGTTTTATTTGTGCGTTTTAGATTATACTAATAAAGATTTAAATCATTACGTTTCAGATACTTTTTATATGTTACCAATAAGTTAAAAACAAAGATTTAGCACATTTAATATAAGCACTTACTAAAAAATATACTTATGTGTTCATTTTATTTCATTAATATATATATATATATCAGAAGTAACTATTATTGTATTCAAGTATGCACGTTATTTGAATTAAAAACATTTGACACTCATTAAAGCTTTATTATCCAAACATATTCATCCAAAAAATCAATTTAAATGATACCATATATGATTACATGTTAGTTGTTGGAAATAACTTATTTTTACTTTAATAACGATATAAAATATTATGAAGTGCGTATCTGTATCGTATTTTAACCTTTTACAGTAAATACGAATGAAATTATTACCCAAAGTTCAACAAAAAAAAATTGGAGAAGTCATTCAGCAATAAAGTTATAGCGATTATGTTTTATTTAGTTTTAATACATAATAAATCATTGCATATAGGTATGATAAATAACCTAGGCGAAAAGGTTGTAATATATTATGATAACTCAGTATGTGTAACTTATTTTTAAAGATATATTATAATTTATTTTCTATTAGTAAAACAGTAAATTGAGTTAATTATAGTCTAAAATATAATATTACCTATATGATAGGTAGAATAGGTAAATACTATAATGTTAAATTATTATTGTTACAAGGATACTAGGCCTAAAAAACGCTTGAGCACTAAGTTCAGTAAATATATTTTGCCGTTATTTTTAAAATATGCACTGCTTTTTCTCGCATCAATTTTTGAAAATTTTCAATTGGTTTCATTGGTCATAGTACTTTTTTATTATTATTATTAAAATTTTGACCATCCATCAAACAAATCCAAACATGATATTTTTTGAAATACACTCGATAAATCACCAATTTTTTTTTTTATTTAACCTATATAAATATCCATTGTAACATTTAAGTTCTAAAAATTTTTTACTCTTGATAAATTCCATAATAATGATATTAGTAAAAATATATAGATTTAAAACCGTACAATGTAAACGAAAAGAAAATAGTATTCAGGTTAAAGTGTGAAAATGTGACATGAACAAATTATACTAACTATACAATAGCACACTCAACCAGCAATAAAAAAAAACTATTATTTATAAGTATAAATAGTATCTCAATAATAAACTAATATAGAAAATTATAGATACCGTGAGTATTGCACTTGCTTAAATAATACGTATAATTTTGTGTGATTCTCTTATAAAATTTTGTTTATCGTTATATCGCTATTTCTGATTTTTTTTCTTTTCATCTAATAGTCATCTTGCACTATTTTCTCGAAGTTCAATCGTCTGGCTTTACTTTTTGTGTGCTCAATTTTCCGCACTCAATTGTCAAAAAACTTCTTTGACTGTTTCTGAAATTAACAATAAATTAAATATATGGGGTATAATAAATATTAAATATGCCTATTTAAATATTTGGATTTATAATATATTATTATACGCTAATATAAATACATTTTGATCATATAAAAACAACTACAAGATATATTTAATTTAAAAATATATTTATTTTTACTAACCATACTATTTAGACAAGCAAATATTTTTATTACTAAACACGATTAAAATATACATATAAAATATTAGTGTTATATTACATTATATGAATAATTTATATGTTTAATATAATAATAATTTAACAACAATTAATATAAATTTAATAACTCAACAAAGGATATTATTTTTTAGTAGATATTTGATGACATTGTGTAATATAATATGTGCATGATATAATATTATAATTAATATTAACGATTAAATATAATGTATAGGTACTACATACTGGTATAATATAACTATATGGTGATATATTCTTAATGAATGTATCTAATTATTACTCAATATAAAGATTTTCGACCACTTCGACTTCTTTAATGACTAGATCGTTTTTTAGTGGGTTGATTAAGTCCGTGAATATTAGTGACAACTGCAATAGAGGTGGGTTGTTGATTGGATCATTGGACCACATGGTCCAAGTTTTCTTATTAAAGTCAAATACACCTATGTAAATCAAACCGATAAGTATTATAATTTATAACATTTTAAACACTCTATAAATTGTTAGTTCGTAAAATAAAAAATAGTTCGCTCGTATGTAAAAACAATTTACCTCGATAAAAGTCAAAAGTAAAAACAGTTAACCATTTATCAGTATTAATTCATAATTATCGTAAATAACAAAAAAATTTTACTGTCATTTATCAAGACCACAAGTTGCATCACACATCATCTCTTTCTCCATCATCACTACTACCACTTCTTCTCACTCATGGAATATGAAAAAAAGTCAATTTATAGATATTAATAATTGTTATTTAATTTATTGACATCCAATAAACAAATTATAGGCAATTTGAAAGGTTATTTTACAACTACAAACGTTTGATGTAAAAATCAAATACAACAATATTTCTGAGTAAGCATTTAAAATTTTTTCCATAAAATTTATTGCAAAAAATAAAGGTATAATTTTTTATACAAACGTTTTAGTAAAACAAACAATTTAAAATCAAAATACCTACGCATGTATCATGTAATAAAAATTGTAATCAGAGATTTCATTATTTTTTCAGAAGCATCGAATTTAAATTGCTACTGTCACAACTATTTCGTATAATAGATGGTGTGAAAACAATTTGTTATTACATAGTCTATAATATAGACTATAGTATCTCATGTTTTATCCATGTGTTGCACATGTGCAGAAATATAGCATAGGTACATCGGTATGACGCATTCTATTAACGTATAATATGATACACGCATCACACATACATTTTATACATTATCAAACACACAACTAAATCACATAGCATCCTTTATTTCGATGCTTGTTCATAACCATTAACTAGTTCCTATTAAAGTTTTTTAATATCTTTTATAGTTTTGCATAATGCTCAAACCCGGCTGTCGAATAAATATACACGAAAATAAAGAAAAAACTAAAAATAAACACAATATTCACTACTGTTAACATTATACGTATAATCCGACGCGCTTACCCAAATTAATTGTGCTAACTCTGGCGTCAGACTTATCACTAAATATCGGCCACGGTTTGTCGTCCCTATTTCCTAGCACTTCCAACATGTCCTGAAAACTCGCAGCGGTCTTGTTTGCCGTTATCTGCTTGTACCGGCTCTCCCTGGACACGCTGCTCCCGTAAGCGGATTCGTCCAGTTCTGGGTACTTCAGATGGAGTAATCTAAGATTAAAAGTAAAAATATAAATCAAATATTTATAATATAGTAATACGATATATCGGGTGACAATTTTCAACAGATCTAAAAAAATCAACATATTATAATGATGTCAAAAATTCAGAAACGTATTATATACGACTTACCCAAATTTTCTGTACAATTTATCTAAAAATCGGTCTTTGACTATGCTAATAACAAACTATTTGCTTAGATTTAACCACGACTGGTAAATACAATTTACATAAATTAAATTATATCACTACTACCAAAGACAATTGGGGTATTCGTCTTGTATTTATAATTTATAATTACTATAATGGTGAATAACACGCGTGCACATATACCTGTTGGTATGTATTGAGTTGTTTCCTATACCGAAGTCTGCGAGGTAAACTTCTGACTTGTCACAATCGACTTTTGGGGTGACTTCTACTGTGTGAAAAACACGCGATTCCTTGGGTACGTGCAGAAAACCAAAGTTCACGTTGAATCCATCGGCCGTGCCTACGCCTTCGTTGGTCAAAATATCCAAGATCTCACCCAGGTCGGCCCGCGAAGACAACAGTGCTCTCGTGATGAACTCTCGGGCTATAAAACACAAAACAGACGAAATTTATTAATATTATTAAGCATTATTAAGCAATATTATGTACATCAATTAAGATTAGAATGAAACCAAAAAAAAAAAGTTATGAGTTGAGTATAAAATGATTAAATACATGTGTCACTCAGTGTCAGTTTTGTAACTATTCAGGAAACACATTTTAAAGGTGTACAATTTATAATTTGTAACATACTTTTTTTAACTTGTCACAAAATTTCATTACCCATCTAATAAAAAAAAAAAAGTTATGAAGTTCTAAAGAAATTTATGGTAACATTGGTAATGAATAATAATTTACTAGTATGTGAAAATAAAAAATACTTAACATTTATTTATTTTATTATATGTCAAGGTTCTATAAATAGAATTCTTAATATTTTTACATATAAATGTATATAATTTTAACTTAATTATTCTTATTAGTTTTCAGTATATCTCAAACTGTATCTAAATAATTGATCTTCAGTATCTCTATGGGTAAAACTCAATTATGTACAATTTACCTTTATGGATACACAAAATCCATCGAATAACAAAAAAATTCCTTAAGATATTATAATGCTTTAAGCAAATCTGTGTTCAGTAGTTTTAAATTTGTGAAGTCAGCTTTAATATTTGCTTTTATTATCTTCTTTTTAAACTTAAATATAATAAGTAATAATATTATATTCTATGTTTACTCGTAAATTTTTTTATTCCTTTAATTTTTTAAGTTAATTATGAAAACTTCTAAATTGTAATATCTTACATATTCATAACTTATTAAAGATTAAAATATTGTAAAATATACATGAAAAAAATGCGGTTTATGTTCTTACTTTTAAGTTTGACAATAGATTCGTTTAATAATAATAATTTAAGTTTACTACTTAAAATTAGAACTTCTAAACACAAATTTGCCTCTCATATCATACATTTATAAGATAAATACAATGCATACGCGTGCAACTTCTTCTTAAAAGTAAGAAAGTTATCTATGTTTGAACGTTATTCTTATTTTCAATTGAGTTATAAGTTTCAGAGTATATAAATCATTATAATTTAAAAATGCTTGTAAATGTATTTATTTTTTAGACAGTTAGAACAAACATTAAAAACATAAAAAGCAAGTAAGTAGGTACCGCTCTGCTGTAAATTAGAGGATGGGGTGAACCTCGGACTAGGGTAGGTTAAATTTGAATGCAATCATATGTATCATTGTATACGAAAAACGGTTCTGAACGGAGATGATTTGTCAGTCTAGGATATATTATATTTAAATATTGTTATACATTCTATTTTAAAACAAATATTTTATTTTTCAATTAGGACGCATTTTCAAAAGTCATAGTTAATCAAATAATTATTAATTTTTATGAATTATACCTACAAAATAGTTTGCAAATATTCATGGTTTTGACGAATTTTTGTCAATATTTGAACTTCAAATGCTAATAAAAAAAAATTGTGCATATGTATTCTTAAAATTTTTTGATCACTATAAGAATAACTTATGAAAAACTTTGTATTAAATTTTCAAGTATTTTGATTGGGCCAAAAAAATTTTATCGATACTTCAAAAAAAAATTTTCAGAAAAATTGAAAATTCAGTTGTCTATAAATAGCTCAAAAAAAGTCAAAATATTTTTAAAATTAAATCACGTAAAGAAAATGCTAATCTAAATAACTGGTAAAATTTTCAAGTATCTACGATTTATACTTTTTGAATATTAACAAATATTTAAAATCGTTTGAGGATAAATCGTTATCGTACGCTATTTTGTAAAAATTTAAAATTCAAACGCACTTAAAATTTTTCCTATAATGATGCTTTGAGTTTTTACTATAGCTACTTGAAGGAAAACTTAGGGAAAACATAGTGAAGTATTTTTAATCCTTAGTTATAAACACAAAAAATGTTATGATTTTTCAACTTCAAAATTTCGCGTTTTCGATAGATTTCGTAAATATTTGAACTATAAACGTTTATAAAAAAAAAATTGTGACAAACGATTTTTAATTTTTTTTTTTTTTTAGCTACAATAAATAAGCTCATAAAGAATCTTATATTAAATTTTCAAAATTTTTTGGCACTTCAAAAAAAAATTCTTATAAAAATCGATAATTTCAGTGGTCTATAAATAACTCAAAAAAAGTCAAAAATTTTTGAAAATTAAACTGTATATAAATAACACTAACATAAACGTTTGGTAAAAATGTCAAGTAATTTACAGTGATTAGTTTTTGAATTACAACCATATAAAAAAATCGATTTGGTCAAAAACTGGTTTTGCGTAAAAATTCTCGTTTTTCCGTCATTTTTTTTTTGTTTTTCTCGATTTTTTTGAAAACTGTTGGTAAATGTTTACTTTTTACTTCTATAATGCACCAAGGATATTCACTTTGCCATCGGAAACTACCCCCGATGTTTGAAATTGAAGCATTATTTTGACTACTTATGCTGTACACAGAAACAAAAAAAAAAAATTAAAAAAAAAAAAAACACAGATCATTGTAAAATCAATACATTCATCACTCCGTTCAGAATCCAAAATATTTTTATAAATCATATATTTATTTATAAATAATATGATTTTATATTTGATGTATATTTTAATTAAAATTTAGGCACTTTTGAATTAGATTTAAATTCTTATCATTACTGAATACAATTTCACAATTGGTTAAATTTGAATCCCCAGTTAACATTAATATAACTATTCACTACATAAAATGGTGGAGGGTGAAATTAAAAACTACGAAATTGCTCGATGGCTTTTGCAAATTTTATGGATCATCTGCTATTCTATAGATTGATTTTGTTTTATTTCTATATATAAGTACGGAATTAGTTTTTTGCTCAAATAAAATACATTCAATGTACGGAATCGTATGATATGAAAAATATACCGCCGATTAGCATCATTAAGTTACTGTGCGTCTGTACACAATTATTGTTTAACCATATGTACGTGTATATCTATCCATGTGGGTGAGATCTATATAAATTAGTTTAATACTAACGAATTTTTCCCCTCAATGGTTTACTGACGAATATTGTGTTAATTGAGAACACCAGTCCATAATGGTTATGACCGCTAGCGTAACCCGGTAAGTGTCCAGCATACGTGAGTGCTTTGAACTTCTCTTCTCTGGCCGGGAATCTGCCACCCAGCTCGGATTCGCCAGGCACCACATGAGCAGCCATGATGTAATAATTATTAACCGTTTCAGACAACGCGTCTTCTGTGTGCCCTAACAACTACACAACAAAATTATGTACGTGTTTATAGGTATAATACTTAAACAATTGTATTAAAAACATGTTTTTTCAATATTTTTTAACCTATGGGTTACCGCTTAACTATTTAATCGTGTTTTGATATCATATTTTTTTAATTTAAAAAAATTTAATTAAGAATCTAATTAATTATCCATGATTTATGAGTTTTGAACAAATGACTTACATGGTACCTAAGTAATAAAAAACATTTTCAAGCAATAAACATGCTTAGTGCCGATTTCACTAACATTTATGCTTATTATTTTATTTAATAAAATTAAATAAGACTTAGGTACACTATATTATAACATGATTATCGCTTATTTTTAATAAGTATAAATGATTATTTTTAGTTTGATGAAACAAAATTATATTAAATAAAAATGAATATGAAAATATGGTATTTAAGTAAATAGTATATTATATACGTAGTTAGCGAAACAATATATAACATAGCCTACCTATGTATATGTTTAAGAATTATAAATTATGATATATTTCTCTTATTTTCACAATTCAAATTACTTTTGATAAATTTAACACTCATAAAGTATTAAAATAATATTATACTACAATTTAAAAATAAAAAATTACACATTTCAATAAGTTTTGTACTTTTTTTAAGACACATTTGTGCGCATATAAATGTATTAACAAAATATTTTTAACTTAATATTATCGATAAAAACAAAGAAATAGTAGATATATAGATTATACATTTTATTTTACCTGTGAATTTGGCTGATTAATTATTAATGAAGTACATCCTGTCGGTCCTTTGTCTTTACTTGTAACGTTTAAATTTTTTGGCAGCGTATCATCTAATGCCATTAAAAATAACTGAAATATATTTAAATTTCTTTCATATGAGTATTTAATACGTTATTTAATATTATACATTTTATTATTATTGATTATAATTTATAATAGTAACAAAACAAGTAGATACCTCGTGAAACGGAACTCCCGATCCATCAGCCATGCCTTGTAGCTCGATCACATACTGAGGAAAGTATTTTTGTGTGGACTTTAAACTTTCTTCATAAATCTGCCGTCCTTCCGGTTGAGCGTACATTGGTAAGAACTCACTCTGAAGCGGCTCATACGAGCGTACATATTCTTTAATCATTGATCCAAAAGTCCGCCCCTATAATATGATAAATAATAAATTATATACGGAGTTTGTAAAATATTTGTTCTAAACTATATTTGTTTATGATTTTTTTTTCTATTCGTATAATTAATATTTTTGTACATTGCAATGTACATTCTTTCTTACTTTGACATTTTTTTTGGTTAAAATGGATGTTTTTAAATACATTTCAAAAAGTTAATCTGTCGAATGATAACTATTATCCTACGTTGGTATTAAAGTACCGTAAAACGATCTCCAAACAATGACAAACACTTTTATCTTCACTCATATAGTCATATAATTATGTAAATTGTAAATAAATATATTAACAACCTCGATTCACCTAATTGTAACATAAATATTTTTGCATTTTTTAAACTACATAAACATAATTAATGGTTCAAATGCATTTTTAAGGGATTAATTTAGACAATTTTAATGACTTAAAAAAAATTAAATAATATATTTTGAAATACCAGTTCAGTGTAAGTTACAAATGATCCCTTATCGAAATCATATTGAAAATGAATTAAAATGAATTAAAATGTGCTGGTGCAGTTCGAGTTCCAACATATATTTAGCGGTACAACACTTACTATTGAAATAGACGATAAAAGCATTTTTGAGGAAATCTAAATTTGATCTTTCGATATTCTAACATACTTATTTTCTAGATTTATACATTTTATTTTATTAAACAATTAAAACTTTTAGTTGAAATTATATAATAAAACACAGCAAACACCTTCAAAAATAATGTTATCTATCATTTTCATAGTGGTGTTTGTCTAATCACTTTAATTAAGTAGTTATAGCCACTTTGTGACAACGTGTTAATTTACTGGAAATTAGCGGTGATACGTCCTTCAAGTTTACAACACTAATTTAATTTAATACATGTATTCTATATAAATAAAATGCCAATCCTTTTTACAATTACATAAATTAAAAATTTTATAAGCTCCTCTCCACCGCGCCTTGGAATAAGGTAGAGTAAAAAGTAGGAATAACCTATTGCAATTTGCAGTCTCATGCAATATTTGTTTTAAAAAACTCGATGCAAAAATTATAATATTCTTAAATTAATTAACATAATATTGCACAATATTGTACCTAGATCAGTAATTACTGTATAATAACTACTGCATTATAAATTCGAGGAAAACGGAAGGTGATTATAATAAAAAGATTAACATTTTTTATGTACGCGAGTATTGTAAATCGACCGGAACACTTCCTGAGCACCTTCGAAAAAAAAAATATTAATCCTACGATACTTATGCACTCCCGTTGGGCTAATCCGGTAACGGCGGTCACTAGTCAGTGTCGTCTAGTTCCGTCGAAGGAGAATTGCCATTGCAATACACTCGCCACAAATATCTTTAATTATTACATGTCGATATTCTTTTCAAACCGATAATTATTGAAGTGATAGTGAGATATTTACCCACGTGCAGGTGGTTTCGAATAATAACTAATAATAACTACAAGTGGCGTGTACTATATTTTGTACAATTTTTTCGATGTCGTTCATGAGTCATGATATACAATATAATCCGGAATCGCAAAAAATTGTCGTGCATTAGATAATATTTATTTTATTATTTTATTCCAAACCGTCCGCATAATAATTGATACATTAATGCTGTGTGTGTCGCTAACGATAGAAATAAATTAAAATTATTATTTAGAGAGCATAATAAACATATTATGTTTATATTATTAATATAATTATACGTACCTATAATCGTTTAATAACCACGGTTGGTGGTTATTCGAGAATTCTAATTAAATTGACATGTTAAATCATTATGTATAAACTAATAATCAATAATTATTCATATTTATAAATTATAGAAGTTCTAATGGTGCTAATAATGATTTAATAAAAGCATAATATATTTTAAATTGAAAAGAAGTTACGACTGGCCGTGAATGTAATATCTATTCTATAAAATCTCTAAGCCATTGAGCGTGTTCGTGTATTAGAAATTAGAATAGCTATTTTATACACTCATTAAATATAAATATTAGTATTCATAATCAATGTCCAATGGTAATACCTATATATATCATATATTTTGTATTTACACGTATTTTAATATAAAAATTATTTGGATACCAGAAACGAGGCACCAGCCAACAATCCAGCTGTCCATGGTTAAAACAAATAGATTCTGTATCAAATTACTAAAATTTTCTGATGTTACTTATTTATGTAAATTATGTTTCGAGTATTTGATTTATCAAGATAACAAAAATAACATGATATATAATATCATTTCGACATATTTTACAATAGTTAATAGGTAGCAGTTACTATACCTGCGTATTATATAAGTACGCACTACACTGTTTCAATCCGATTAGTATATTAAGTACCTAGCGATTAATAAGAAACTTGTTTGTATATAACACCATAATCATAAATAACACTTACTCAAGTTTTATTTTAATAATGCATAAAACTATGAAAGTAATTTTAAGTGCGAATATTTCAATAACGAATAGGTTGTAATTAAATAGTATTATACAAAAATAAGTCACTTCTACAATATTATAAAATAATATACATTATAATTATTTAGCATTCTAGCGTATTTATACTGTACTATAATAATTAATAACGTAATGAACTTCACAATATTTACACGGCTATTATTTATGGAGTTTTGGATATTGTTAGATAGTCATAAGCTGCATCAATTTGAATAATAATTGTGTAATGTTATTAATGTAGTATAATGTAATAAATTAATTAATAAATTATTTACACAATATACAATTTATTGATATTTGATCTATCATTTACATTAATTAAGTAGTCATTCTCGATATAAAAAAAAAAATAAATAAATAAATAAATATTCTTAAATAGATTATATATTTAAATTAAATATTCAAAATGAACTATTTATAAATATGCTAATAGAAAATAATTCTTAAACAATAACAAGATAATATTATATATTATTTTATAATGCATTTATCAACGATATTACAGGTAATTTCAAATTTGTATAGGTGTCTTGTCAATTAATTACTGAATATTATGTAATTAATTGATTTTAAATAATAATATATTATATCATAAAAATATCTATTGTATAATTACAACGATAATTATAATTCTAATGTATAGTTTTTAAATTATTAATGATATTTTAATTACAAAATTATCTAATAAACATCTTTTATTATTTCAACTTTATATAATATAGATAATGAAGTTAATAAATTTATAAATTTCCTGATAAGATGCACCTAAATTTTAAACAATTAGGTATAAAAGAATTGATGTATCATTGATGTGTAAAATTATTACGCTTGTTTACTTTTGATTATCATAAATAATTTAAAATCAATTATTCACAGATATTCATATTTTATTTTTTTAATTAAAATGTATTTTATTCAAAATTCATTAAAATTTGAAAACTTAATTTCTCATATATCTAAAAAAAAATTAATGAAAGACTAAAAAAGAAATCAAAGAAATAAAAACCTAATATTTACGATAATTTTAAATAAGCGTTTAATTATTTTAGTTGTATGTATCTTAGTTGCCTACTTGGCATAATAATTGATAAAATACTGAAGTAAATTTAAGCTAGTTTATCGGAATAATACGTACCTTACGGTCTAAAATTATGTGCATAGTAGTACAACGAAAACTAGGATTCTATTTTTTTGAAATTATGATTACCATTAATATTATTAACTGAATCATCAATAGACACTAATCTTTGATGACCAACTTCAACGTATAATATTTAATGATTATAATTTATACATTTAAGAAGATAAAACATAAATATTTAAATACAGGGACAACCTTACTCTTTATATATATCATTAGTACGTATTTATTACACACAAACATGCCTACAGACATTTTATGATTACTATGAAATATGAATTATGGGTACGTAACAATTATTCAAGTTTAAAATATTAAAAATGCAATTTGACCAACAAAAATCGCTCACTCTTTGCCAAACTCTGCAATTGGATTCAACATTATATATTCAAATTTACACTCTATAATTATATATATTACTATATTCATACTTATAGGAAAATGTAAATTAATTAAGTAATATTATAGAATGCGCAGTTCATATATTTTAATATTATCATATATTATAAATTATAATCTATTAGAAACGGATATGCAATAAAAAACAGTAGACAATTAATTAAATACAATCTTGATAAAACGAAACGTATAAACAACATTTTATAATAACACCGCGAAACGGGTCTATACGAGTGTAGTTACAATAGCTATTTTAAGTACAGCAAAGCAATATTATAAAACTTTTTTATTATTAACATTAAGATATCAAACGTCAACAGTTTGTCGTATGCTTACATTATGTTTAACATAAAAGGCATCACTTATTATCCGTAAGCTAAATATAATATGTGTGACGTGTGTATAATAAAATTGTCACATTTATACGTAATTTTATCAAAACGAATAACTAGGAAAAACACTAGTTTCTTCGACCATGCATTTTTTCTTCAACTTCCTCATATCTATTCAATATATGTATAGATACAATTTTTATTATGAGTCTAAAATTTAAAAAATATCATAACTAGTAGTTATTATTTATTACCTACATATTTCCATTGTATGTATTTATTATTATTTTGAAGAACCCATTTCAATCTGCTACATTATCGTGTTCGAACTTACCCACCTCAACACTAATAAATTACTATCACGTTTAGTAACTTAAATACAATTTTACAAAATAATAAAAAATTCCAATCCATTTGATGACAATAAAACAAAATTGTACGAGATATAGGTTTCCAAAAATATAATAAGGAGGAAGCGTCCATATCCAAATATATCAAAAGGTGATATATTTTTTTTTAAATAGACGAGCATTAATAACAATGGTCAATAAACGAATACAATATAAATCATGATAAAAGATAATATATTATTATTATTTATGGTATTATATAAAATACAACGTAAGTATAAAAAAATCATGACCAAATTCAATTTAAAAAAATTAAACAACAAAATAAAAACCTTATTATTACTATCATGAACTTAAGTTCACCTTATCTAATCTAGAATTACCTAGGTATTGACCAACCTGTACAAATATTTAATAAAGATAAGTCATAAAAATATTAAAATATTGATTTATACCTCACATTTATATATATATATATAATGCTAATACAGAAGTAGAGTTCTAAGATATACGTAATCTTATACATAAATATCATTACCAGGTACTGAGGTACAGAAAGTACCGACTATCAAACCGTTAATAATTCATTATAAATCAGGTAAAGGTTTCCGAAAATTCCTTACTCACATATTTGGTGTAATATATAATATAATATAGGTAATATTATATAATTATTTGTTAATGTTTAATGGATATTAACTAAATACATTAATACCTAAATTATTTTATGTTTTTAAGTTTTTTTTTCTCGTCGTTATCAACGCAGCGTGTAAACATATAAAAAAATTACTTTCGAGATAACTATAGTACCTTTATATAATTACACTGAAAAATGCACTAAAACTACTATTCCTTATTGTTTATTGTAGATGTAACGTAACTTTTGTAACGTAAAAATACATCTGAATTTTTCAAAATAGCATAAATTAAGTCTAAAATTATTCTTTCTGTTTCATGATTTTTTTCCTTGTTAAAATACACGAATTCGTTATCAGTATTATGTTATTAATATCAGTTATAAATACATTAAAATTACACCCATGGTACTTAATATTCCAATTGATGACGACAACGTCATGTCAAGAAGCGTCCGACAACACATGCAATCCTCATAATCACTATCTATTACACACTTTGCTGCACACAATCTTGAATATTGTCACATTACAAAAATCATTATGAAATGCAATATTCGCACAAATATTATAACTAATGTGTACGGGTATAGTATTTATGTACAAGCTTAAATACTTACAACGCTGTATCCGACTTCGTAGTGTGTGCCCGTCACGTAGTGTACTGGTATGGAGTTTTGCCTTCGGGACACGGGCGGACAACATGATCCTAAAACTGACATTATCGAGTTTTTGTTTTAATATAATATATTTACTTAAATCTTAGACTGGACAAAAAGCGTATTTCACTAGGCCACCGGTGACGGTATATAACACTGTATTTATTTTAAGGTCAAACGGTCTGGACAAAAATATATTATACGCGTATCGCGAGTGCGCGACAGGGCCGAAACCGTACACGAATCGCAAAGCCAATTATGCGGATTTATTATTTTAAATTTATATAATATATATGTACTAAAAAATATTGTTACTTTAAACCTAGTCTGTCGCGTTTAGCAATGTGCGATATATTGCGTTGATATCGGGTTTTATGCTTCCCGATGATGTTTTCCCTCCAAAATCTTTTTTCTCGTAGTCTCGTGTGCGCATACACACAATAATAAAATATTAGTAAACGTTAATTTATATTTATTTTATGATCTACGATCCCAGCGCGTCGTTTGTGTATGTATATATATATGTGTGTGTGTGTGTGTGTGTGTGTGTGTGTGTGTGTGTGTGTGTGTGTGTGTGTGTGTGTGTGTGTGTGTGTGTGTGTGTGTGTGTGTGTGTGTGTGTGTGTGTGTGTGTGTGTGTGTGTGTGTGTGTGTGAAGTGTGTGTGTGTGTGTGTGTGAAGTGTGTAGTACGCTGCAATCCCGATATCAGATGACCGATAATCGTCGAAACGACACTCGGTCGAAACGCGGTATTAAATAATAAGGTTTCATCGGATTTAAAATAACTCGATAAAAAATAATAAATGTATCTATATTGTAAAAATAGAGTACGTTACAAAATCGATATAGGCAATAAAAAAGAATATAATTGATAACAATCACATCGTAAAGTATAATTTATTAAAATGATTAAAAATCAAGTTGAAAAACTATGAGTAATATCGGATAATTTATTTATTCGTTTATTTATGATAGACATATGTGTAATAATTCATTAAAAACACAAATCATTATACGAACCGATCGTTTTATCATTAGAAAACTCTGTTTAAATAGTAGTAAAATAATAATTATCCAATCAAAGTGTATAAAATGGTGAACCATAGATTATATAAATATAATTTTTGATTATTCAAGAACTATTCCGAAGCCAAATCTTTTATTCCTAAAACGTTTGACATATTATTTATTTTATGGCCGTTTAAAGTTGAAATATTTCAAATGATTTTCACAACAACATGAACACACGGTACATATTATTGTTTCCTGATAGATATAAAATATCATATATACCATACCTAGTTCATAATATTTTATTTATGATTTTTTTTTATCTCGCTATCACAGATGAAACAGCGACTTTTGACACCCGCGCCTTATTTAATAAAATATGTTAATAATTATTTTTTTTCCTACACACAGTATAATAGATATTTGGTATATTGTACCTACATTTTAATAAGTTCGATTAATACAATGAAATTAGTACCGATATATCACATCTACTTATTACTGTATTTGTCAACTACAGTAACACGCTGTAATATTGTTTTTTTTTTTTTTTTAAGTATTATATACATTTAACAAAATATTTCGAAAGTTATTTCAACTTTGAAACAGTTGAGTTTTCAAAAATAAGATGTTGAATAAATAAACATTGTACTAATAACGGTCATGTCCTCATTGTTAATAACCGATGATTAATTTAAACAAATATAGTGTAATACTACACGAATAAATCTGACGAGTTAACTACGTTAAATTAGTTTTAAAAATAATTATATGGTGGGAAACTTCTTTGGCGGTTTATCATTGAAAAAAAAATACTGTTTATTAATATGCAAAAGTAATTATTTAAATTTAAAAAAAAAAGGTATTTAATTGTTTAGCCTTGTTTCTATTATTATGTGTTAAAAAAAAAAACATGCATTTCTATTAATACCGTGGAAATCGACAAAAATTGTAAACATAGGTACATCAATTATTGATTCCATACACTTAATATACGTATATAATGATTTTACTGTTTATGAACATATTACAGAAACTTATTTATTTATATTATTACATACCTAACCTAACCTAACTACACGGCATTGAATGATTTCGATAGATTTTTTTTTCATTAGTTAGGACAGATATCTTATAGGTTTTAGTCGTAAACCTCCAAATCTAAAATATCTTAAAGTTTCGATAACGTAACAAACGTAAACTAAATTCGCAATCTGTAGATTATGTCAGGCAAAATCCTGAAAGACAATATTTTATGGAACGAAAATGAAAGAAAATCATAAAAAAAAGTAAGACACATTGAAAGCAATTTATATTTTGCACTTTGTGTTAACATACTAAATTTCGATAAATATTTAGTGAAGTTTAAAACGTACTCATTTTAATTAAATAATGAGAAAGTTCTTGACATTATATTTTATAATAATTTAAAAAACAATTTTTTAAACAAAAAATATCTAAATAGTAAAATTTTATTTTATTTACACGCAAACCGCAAACACATAAAACCTGCGTTATTATTGCAATACAATTTATATAATATTTACTAAGGTACATGATAATAATTTTAATATTATTGGGTTATCGCATTCACAAAACTTAACTAATATAAGAATATAATAATTTACAAATGCAAGTGTTATTTTACATCAAGTGTGCGCAAAAAAGAAAATCATTACAAAATTATTTACCCCAAATAACAATCTATCGACTGTACTATTATGTTTAAACAGAGTGAAAGTATTTAAAGAGGAATCGATTATAGATATATCGAATTAAATATTACAAGTATATTATAGTTATATTATATTTTAATTTCTAATCAAATAAATCCAATTGATAAAATATATTTTATTTATGCACTAACGCACTCGCGTATAGTTATTGGAACTTGTCAAGGAATGATTGATTTTTCTCTTCTTCAAAAGCCAAAATCCCCTGATAAAAAGATTTTTGAGACTATTAAATATTTATTATTTTATAAAGAGATATCATTGAATAGCGAGTGATGTAATTTGAGAAGTATTAAGTAATTCATAATTTAGAGCAGAATATAATTTATAAAAATTGTAATTAAATGTAACTCCATTTAAATTAGTAATGAGTACCTAGGTAATGATATTTAAAGTTTAGACCAACGAAATACAGCTCCACAGATTTATTGATTTACAATCAAAACCTATTTTATATAAAATTATAATGATAATAAAAATTTATAATTGCTTCAATTTATTCAAGAAGTTAACTTTTTGATTAAAAAAAAAAATTCCACTTTGAAGATTTTTAATATAAAAACATAATAAGTACGTTGTCGTTATTTATAAAATAAATGTCAACAGAGGAAGATTTACCAGAAATTACTGTTTTAAAAAACAAACATTTAATTGTAAATAATATACAATTTTAGAATAACAAGTGTGCACAACATACATTTTCTATATAAATATGTCAAATAAATTGTTATTTCCGTAACAATTACTTTTTTTTAATTTAAAAAAATATTATAAAATAAATAACATATTTCGTATGTTAAATACATTTTTTGAGGAATTAATAAATCAATACGATATTTAATGAGTAGTGTTTTATTTACGCGTTAAATGATTGAATGTTATTAACGTCATCAATCATCATTCATATTTTATAGGTTTATTTTCTTACCTGGTTCATCAACTATGGCGTGGAAGATCCCGCAATTAGCCATCGTCAGGAACGCTAAGACGATAACCGTTTTTGTAACGGCCAACATTTCTAAGATGTTCATTATTTCTCCAGGTTTTTAATATTATAATATTTGTATTATAATTATTATAACTTTCTCTCCGCTCGTTTGTCGCCGTCGCTGCGTCGGTGTTAGTGGTAATGTATGTACTAAACTCACTAATGTATAATATTTTTATTGTATTTTTTATTTTTGTGCCACGAAAGTACAAAAACAATTTTACATTTATTATATGCCAACTGTCAAAACACAAGTGTTTAATATTGTATCGGCTACGAAATTTAAGAATATTAGAAAAACGATAACGATGCTGTCGATTGCATGATATAATAAAATGTAATAAAATATTATTGCGTATACTACGGTAGAAGATAGTAGCTCGTGTCGACGAATGATCGACAGAATCGGTTGAGTTGATGAAACGCGTCTTTTAAGGGGGTACTTCGCGAGCCACAGGTATAATAATAATAATAATATTATTATTATTATTATTGTAGCAAAATTCTGCACTGTTTCACGATTGGGTGGGGGAAATTAAACATATACCGGCGTTCGTCGATTTCCACCGAAGGTGATGGAGAGAATATGCAAGTTGTTTATAACCGGAACGAAAAAAACATTAGAACCGAACATTTGAATAGGTTAAGTATGAGTAGTAATGTCCACAATTTAAAATCTAGACACCAGATATTAGACTATACAATGTGATTCGACGATGGCAGCGTCGAGAAAATTTAAATTTGTACTACGATTTAGGTTCATTTAAGCTTCGTGATCTTTTCCAGTAATTCAGTAGAATATAGTATTCTAGTAGATAATGTACACATTATTGTAATACTGCGAATTTTTTCTATAATTAAATTTCTCTCATTTTTACAGTCAGATAACGGATTACGTATTTTTTCATACTTTAATATATCAAGTACTAAGATTATCAGATGATAAAACACAGTTTTTGCAGATTTTCACGATCTTTACTAAAAACATTCAACTAATAATCGAATATGTTATTTTTGTGTTCATTAACGATATTATATTATTATGGTATAGTCATCTGAGAGCTTAAATTTATACTCAGTTGAACTCAATTATACACGGTGTAACACTGTGTTTGTCCCTGCTAATGACCTTTTTTTTAGTTGATATTGTTTAAATATTATTTTAAACATTTTTTTTTCTGCATTATACTACGCATGCTATTATAAGTTATTGCTAACCGTATTTTTAAACCAATCAATCTATTCAAATATTAAATCATGACAAATTTATTTTAGTGCACGTACAACGTGCAAATATTTAAAAAGTTAAATGTTATTAAATTCCTGTTCTATGTTTGAATATAAACTCTAAATGTTTTAAAGTTTGATCAGTAAACTGGTAGGTATGATACGAAATGCAGTTAAACACCTAGTATTCACCTATTAAAGACACAATATTATGTAAATTTATATTATTATACTAAAGAGTCCGGTACTATGAATGTATTAATTGTACAACATAATAATTAACTGTAGATTTTTATCGAGAATCAGAAAATTGCATTTTTATAATGTCGTATATTTATGTTTTATTTATAAATACTATTGATGGAGTAGCATCATTTAAAATTTTAGCAAAAAAATTAATTTAAAATGGCGCGTTTCGTTTTTTTATAGACGTAACTTCATTTACAAATGTATTTTTAATGAGTTTATCTGATCAAACAATGATACTCAAGTAAACAAAAATAATTCAAGTATTTATTTTTATTTTTTAAATAACAAAATAATTTATTTTACTCTGTTCAGAGAGAAATAGAAAGATGAAGTATTGAATTAAAACATATTGATTCTATTGAACGCTATCATTTTTACTGTAAGATATAAACTAATGTATTAACATTTTGATTTAACATGTCAACTTTTATGTTGATCAGGGTCTTCGAATATAGACACGGATTCAATAAAATATAGGTCTGCAGGGTATGATATTGTTATTTAGTCATAACGCCATGGTGATTAAGATTTTGTCGTGTAATTGTCATAGTTTAACGCAATTTTAATATCTTCTGGATCTCTATATACGTATGCAGACTATAGTTTAATCAACGCGAAGAATTTTGTACATTCAAGGACTACGTATGTCATGCAATTAAGTTTATGATCAAGGTTTAACTCTACTAAAAAACCACTATAAACAGTGTAAATACTGTAATATTATAAATCCGGTTTGTTTCTAATTAAACTCATATCTGAGTGTTCTAACCTTATATGAAAAAAGCGATTTTTTTTTTTTATAACAGCTCATCAACAAGAAGTAACATGAAAAACACAAGATATATGCACTACACACGCACGCGTGAAGATAACAAATCGTCTCTAATAAAATTTATTTACACGAATTTTCTGTCATATTTTATCCTCTTTATTTTTGAATATTTCCATTTGTGTTCTATCATAGTTGTTTTTGTCGTACATTTGGAATACCCATACAAAGTTCATGCAAATTACTATGTATGCCATTTTACATCATATAGTATTTACATAAACATGTGTATAATTAGTAATAATTATACATTTTAATATACTATGACCAACAAAAACATAATTGCGTTTTACAAATCTTCAGCGAACGATTTTTTTTTTTTCAAACGCTAGGTATTTGAAAATTATTATTGCTAACTAAATAATTAAAAATATCTACACCATCAATTTAATCAGCTTTAAAAATTTGATTTATCCAGTTGCCTTTGACCAAGTATTCAAATTAGTATTTTTCAAATACGAGAAAATAAGTTTCCATAAACCAGTATAATATTATATAGGTTTGAAAAAAATAAATAAATTTGAATATTTAAAAATTATAATACATTTTTTACTTAAATTAGTAAGTATAGAAAATATATTTACTACTTATTTTAGTCACAAACCATTATAAATTTAATACGCTATGCTTGTATGTAATTTGAATAAAACATAATTTGATTAGTGAAATTTTGTTCACGTAAAAACGAGCTAACAAAAAATAATAAATACCATACAAAACACAAGTTTATGATAATTTCTACGCTACAATAAGCACAATAAACGATTTACAAAATAACCAAATTATCTCAATTTGTTTTCAAATATTTTTTGCGGAATCGTTTTTATAATGATCGAAATTACAAGCACTTGTGATGGTAGTCGAAGATCAATGAATAACCCAACCATTTGAATATGAATGTGTCAAATTGAAACCATGCTTTATCAAGTGTAATTTGAAAGAAATATTCTAAACTTAATTTGAATTGTTATTATTCGGGTATATTATTTAAAAACTACAAAATTATAATAATGACAGTATTTTTCGTATAAGGATCAATATAAAAATCAGTAAATAATTAATAAATTAATATGTTATAAAATTATAAAGAAAAAGTTAAGAATAATTCATTATAAAGAACTTTAAAAAAAATAATAAGATTTGTTCATTAACACTTTTTAAAGTAAAATAAATAATTTATAAGTTATATACTGTCGTTTCTCATTATATTAAAAATCAGAATATTTAAATTTATTATCAATTCCACATGGTAAGTCGTCGGTAACACGCACACTATCGCCCCTCGCTTATCACATCATTAAAATTAATGAGTACCAAGTCGATCCTATACTCGGTATAATTATCATCGTTTTTTTTCGTATATTTCCGTATGCGTTTAAACAAAAACTTAATCCAATTCTGTCACCACCATCGCCAAACTGGCTGTAAGCCGTGACCTGCAACTTATCAACTACTGCACCATGCAATGAAACAACTTAGACACAAATAAATTTAAAAACAAACCAAAATTATCTCCGATAATTATCACTAAAACTATTTCTCACAAGACGCAGGACGTAACCTTTCCGTCTGCCACTTCAGATAATGACCAAGAATGGAATATTGTCGACAACAACAAACGAATTAGGTCACCTAATAATACTACCTCACCTCGCACAAAAAAATCAAACGAGTCGTCAAATTTCTCCTCACCAAACCGCTATTCTCTACTCGACTCCAACGTAGATAATATGGATCTTTAAATTAACACAGAAATCAAGGAGTCACCACCACCTCCAACACCAATCTTCTTAACGTCTTCGATTAACTGTATCACTCTGTGTAAAAACATTGAACAAATAACGAAAACCTAGGGTTTCCTTTGCAAATCCAATTCAAAAAACATAAAAATAAACCTTCACTCAGCCAGTTCTTACCGTGCCGCTATAACATTGTTTAACGAGCACAAACTTGAATACCACACGTACTAGACTTACGAAGAAAAATCCTACAGAGTCGTAATTAGGAATCTGCATTATACAATCCCTACGGATTACATTAAAGAAGAAATAGAAAAACAAGGTTTTCTGGTTAAAAATGTCACTAACATTCTAAAATCTCAATCAAAAGAGCCCCTTTCACTTTTTTTTTGTAGACCTCAATCCATCTCCAAACAACTAAGACATCTTCAAAATCAATAATATATGTTTCACCAAAGTCAAAATTGAAGCCCCACACATCAGACGAGATCTAGTCCAATGCCATCGCTGTCAACAGTATGGCCACACTAGATCTTACTGCAACCATCTGCCTAAATTCGTCCGTTGCGGCGAAAACCATACCTCGGATCAATGCTTCAAATCTAAGGACCTACCTGCAAAATGCGCACTTTGCAACAAAGCCCACCCGGCTAACTACAGAAGATGCACTGTTCACAAAGACCTCCAACGTTTTCGTAAAAAACAACAACCGATCATCATCTCAAAACTAACTACAGAAAACTCCGACACACCTCAAGTTCAACCCACTAGCCAACTTCCTACAGTAATGTCACACCTAATCAATGCTCCCGCAAGATCTCTAAATAAACACAGCGACACCCAGCACTTATCATTATCACAAGCGGTTAAAGGTAACAAATCAAATGAGATAAAATCAAGCCATATAAACGACCCCCCCCCACCATCAACTATTAACAAGCTAACTTACAACTTTCATATCCAAGTTAAAAACTCTAATCTCTCCCCTCATAACACTTCTTAATCCCCTAATAACCCTTCTCACATCTCTATTTAACAAATTAAGTTCTAACAATGGAAACTAAACTCAATCTAAAATTACTCACGTAGAACGCAAACGATATAACGCAACATAAACTTAAACTTCAAGCAATCCTAAATTAATATAATATAGATATAGCTATGATTTCTGAATCACACCTAACTCCAATTAAAAAATATTAAAATCCTTGGCTACAAAGCGTACCAAAGAAATCACCTGGACAACTCGGCTCACGCTGGCTCGGTAATACTTGTAAGAAATAGCTTAACTCACTCGCCACTTCCTAAGATAAGTGAAACATATCTTCAAACGACCAGCATCCTCATATCCTTAAATAAATACACCAATTTGATATTCTCA